TCCCTAATTAAAAAAAAAAAAAAAAAAAAATTAATAAAGTATTTTTTATAATATTGAAAAACTGATTTGTAATTTTGAAAACTTTCGACTATTATCTAATGTAAATACGTATGGCAATTTTCATGCAATAAATGCATAAAATGTGAAAAATAAGATCATTAGCCGGCTGTATAGCAATGTACATATGCAAACAAATCAATTTGATACATCGATTTCGTAAGTGACGGTGGATAGTTTCGTATTATAGACTACTGCTTCGTTACTTTTTCATCAATCAACGACCAGTGAAGACTTTCTTTTCAATGTCGTACGAAATTTGAATATATTAAATGTAAAATTCAATATGAATAATGTAATAAAAAAATGTAAATTCAATATATTAAATGTAAAATTCAATATGAATTCAATATGAATCTTCAATATCAATATCTTCATACTAAAATCATCAATATGAATCAATATCAATATCTTCATATTAAAATTATCAATATGAATCTTCAATATCAATATCTTCATACTAAAATTCAATATGAATTGTAGTACAATTGCATTAACATCTTGTAACCAACTTATGTTAGTAAATAAAACAGTGAACATGTATGAATAAACGAATCAGTAAAGAACGTAGCAGAGATTTTTATTAATTAAATTTCAAACATACCGAGCTTTTTTGAGACATGGTTGATCAACAATCAGTCGATATTGGTAACAATATCTTCCAACTCGTTTGTATACGTACGCTTCCTTTGCGTTCGTATGGCACGATCTACTGCAGAAGAAGACTACAAACAGACTGAAAATTAATTTTCGTGCAAACGTTTATATATATACAACCGCCTTATTAAAAATATACTATTCACGAAGGGGTTTGCCAAAGTATAATCTAGATTGTTCACCATCGTCTTTCAGGAAGAGTCTCGCTTCACGTAGATTCTCGGTAGCACGCTCTGCATCGAGCAACTATTTCTATTTTAAGACCCTTAAATATGCTGTTTTTAACTACTTCGACAATTTTACGAGATGGTCGACGCATTAAAGATTTCTATGATTAATTACGTAAACATGTAATTCGTGTATATTCCACTAATTTTTTTTTCACTGCGTTATTGGTACGTTTTTTTTTTTTTTTTTTTTTTTTTTTGCGAAAGAAAAAGAAGAATATGAATTCAGTGAGCAACTTTTTAAATTTAGATGGAGATAGAAGAAATTTAAAGATTGACGAAAGTTCTAGAACAATAGATATTTTTGGTCAACTAATTTGATATATAATTGTTATCATATATTAAAGTAAAGAAACAAATTTCATTAATTTCGTGTTTTTGTTCTAGTTTTCGAATTAATTTGATTTCAGGCAAAGAAAAAAAAAAAAAGAGAAATTACAAATGTTTCCTCTTTCTTCAATATATTAACTATATCAACTATAATTAAAAGGTATATGTGTTTAAAAGTATGTTTAAAATTGGCATAGTCGTAGTCGTAGACAATTTATAATAGCAATCTGTTCATTGAATTTTATTTACTAATAGAGAGATATAGCAGGTACATGATTTTTAGCAATAAAGGAATAATTCATTATATGGTTGGTGATTCATTGAGACTTGATAATCACATGAATTGAATATGTAGTTCGTATACTTGTTAGAGCGATAAATATTTTTCTCTTTAGATATCCTTATTTTTTACTGAACGCTCAATAAACGGTTGGATCAGGATGTATATAAAATCCACGCCTATGAGCATGAGATCTTCAAGGTTACGTAATATTTAAATAGTAAATCAATATGAAAATTAAATTGCGTAGTATGTCTCGTTTAATGAGGAGAAATATCATTCTGCTTATACAATGTGATTTTATTCCATGTATTTTATTAAAATTTTTACATAAAAATAGACTATAACTTGTTTCGAAGGTATTCTGCGCATGCGCAAGCACAGTTGCGCGCAGGTTCCATTTTCCTCTCCCGGCTCGTATATCGTCTCACGTACGCAATTCCGAGTCGAAGTTACGCAGTTTTCTGCACTTGTGTCTTATAACATAGAACATAAGTAAGTACTAATGAATTCTATCGTTTGTACATCGTCAATTTAAGTCAAATTTTTTGTTCACATGCACAGACCGCGCGGGTATACGCAAGAGAAATTAAATATTTGTAAAGCCGGCATGAGTTGCTAGCAATGTCGTTGGACTATCGTCTGGCAGTGTTATAAACTATTCTTATTAACTTTGCAAATCCATATAAATTTAAACGCATTGTCCTTTTCTTTGTGATCTAACCTGTCACATTGTTTTTATTGGACGATTTCGCGTGTGACAGTATAAAATTCAATTCACTTTTGAGAATTGGAAATCACTGATTTACTCCTTATGTAATACCAAGACAGGTCAATATCACTCCATTTTTGCTCTATATTATTGTTAAATTAATTACATATTATTACTTAATATATTTTCTATTTTTTTTCTAATAATAATAACTTCGTTCTATAATTTATTATTTGTATTATAATTTTTGTCAGAAAATATATAATTAATTTGATATTTATTTTTCTATTATATGTATTAAATATTACGAAATACATAAATTAAATAATTTTCAAAGAAATTTGCGACACTTATACGATACATTGTTGGCAATCTATCATTAACCGGATTCATTTTTTACCCATTTTTTACCCATTTTGTAATTTAAAAATATAACTGTAAATTAATTACCACTGACATGTCTTTTTATTGATTAAGATTTGAATTTTTTAGATTATTTATCTTATTCAGATTGATAGATATCATTATCATTTTAGTCCTTTAATATTATGCATCTTTAAATAAATATATATATTTTTTAAAATATCATTTTTGCTCATATATGAGTAATTGTTTTTGCTAAAAAAAAAGAAATAAAAATATTGTTTGGATAAATGTACACTATAGTAATAAAAAATAATTTTATGTAATTATTTAATGTTTTTACATAGATCATGGCACCACCAACATATGGTGATTTAGGCAAAAGTGCTCGTGACTTATTTTCTAGTGGATATCATTTTGGTCTAATCAAATTAGACGTAAAAACAAAAACTAAGTCTGGTGTAGAATTCTCCAGTGGTGGAGTATCTAATCAAGATAGTGGAAAAGTATTTGGTACTTTAGAAACTAAATATAGTATCGATGACTACGGATTAAAATTTAGTGAAAAGTGGAATACTGATAACACACTTGCTACTGATGTTACTTTTGCCGATAAATTGCTCAAAGGTCTAACTCTTGGTTACGGCTGTACCTTTTCTCCACAAACAGGGTAAAATTTATTAAATCATATCTGTATTTTATACCTTATTTATTGATATTTATATTAATATTTATTTAAAGTGAAGTAATTTAAAATATTATTTTAATGCATTATCAGAGAAACATATAGTTGTTTTGTTGTAGAACCAAGACTGGAAAACTAAAGACTTCATACAAACATGATAATGTATCTGCCAATGCTGATTTTGATCTTAGTCTTTCTGCTGGTCCTTTGGTAAATGCATCAGCTGTTGTAGGATATCAAGGTAAAGAAAAGATAGTATATATATTTAATTTGTGATATAGATTTATGTTATTTATATTAGTATGTAATATTATATCATTTGCTTTTTTTTTAGTACTGAACTTGAAAAATTAAATATTTAATAGTTATATTGTTGCTCCCATCTGATTTCTTGTAATTCCATTCAAGTCCTTCTCCTTTTTATTCTCAGTCCTGTTATTCCAGAAAAAATGATGTAAGATTATGATATAATAAAACAGATTAAATCAAATTTGTTATGACATGTGATTCAATGATTAAATTTTAGGTTGGTTGGCTGGATATCAGGCCTGCTTTGATACGCAGAGAAACAAACTGACAAAAAATAATTTTGCACTTGGATACACGGCATCTGACTTTACTCTTCATGCAGCAGTGTATGTATAATTGTTATAAATATTGAGAAAAGATAATTTAATGATAAAATTTTCATTCTTTAATATCCTGCTGTGGGTTTTGCAGAAATAATGGTTGCGACTTTAGTGGCCTCATTTATCATAAAGTAAAACCAGAATTAGAAGGTGCAATTAATCTGGAGTGGAATTCAAGTAACAATGTGACACAATTTGGAATTGCTACGAAATATAATCTTGATCAAGATGCATCTATCAGAGCTAAAGTTAATTCTAACCTTCAAGTTGGTTTAGGATATCAACAAAAATTACGTGATGGTAAGTGATGTTTAATTTATACAAAATGTTACTCTAGTAAAAGACTCATGGTAGAGTAACAGAATTATATTTGATATGTTTTCATCAATTATTCTAATATATCTATTAAATTAAATTGATTATCGATAATTATTTACTGTATATATTTTATTTATAAAAATATTTCAATATTTGATTTACATATTCTTTAATATATTTAGGTGTAACTCTAACGCTGTCTACAAATATTGATGGAAAGAACTTTGGCTCTGGCGGTCACAAGATTGGACTTGCATTAGATCTTCAAGCTTAAGTATCAATCAGACACAAAAGGACTTGACTCACTTTTAAGGTCATTTCATGGCCTTTGTGTCATAAAGACAGTATCACAGTACATGCTTCAAAGTATTGCCTATAACATATAGATAGGTTTGTCCCAAAATAGATACCACATATAATACGTATAAACATGGTATGGTAACAATATCTTATCATGAACAATACGGTTTACAAATTCTTAACTAAAATAGAAGTGTTCTATTTTTTCTTCTATGATTCTTTCATATCTGATATGAATGATGCAGCTTGTCAACAGTTCCTCATGAACAAGCAGTATAATAAAATCAAATGTTAATTACTCTGAACATAATTATGAAAAATATAATCACGGAGTAACGTTGATCACAAATACGGATAAAATTAAATTAGAAAAAAAGTGTATTTAAACATTTCTGGAAATATATTTTTCAGTAATAAATGTTACCAAGTTACAAAATAATTATAAGCTCTATGGTTGATTTCAAAATAACACACGATATAATGCTCCACATACGTTCTCATAGTTACACAAATAATGTTAATAGTCGAATTTATTGTAAAAACGTCTGCACTTAATAAATAACGTACAGGGACTTGAGATTAAATAATGTCAAATATTAAGTAGATTTTTCATTTCATGAGATGTAACAACATTCATTCCTGTCTGAATAATCAATACAAAACAGTACTGCCAGCGTGGCTATTTTAATGTTGAAATCTATTGAGAAATGTATGTTTGGTCATGAAGATTCCAATAATTTAGTCTGATGTCTTACATGAAGATTTTACATTTTTGAAATAGTATATAATAATAAATACTTTTAGTTATAAATAATTCCACAGTTTTGTTTTGTGTAGCAAAGTTATAATACATAAGAGGTTTGTACTCATACAATTTTATTCTCCTATACATCAACAGTTGTTAAATATTCAGCAAAATCTAAATGAAGCTTTGATTAGTTCATAAAATAAAGAAAATTTTATTTTATGTGCAGTGTGAATGCTTTATTTACATGAGACAATTACAATATTCCCTCAGCTGAAGTATGGTTTGCGTGAAATTTATAACAGTCACAAACGAACGTTAAACAAATAATATTTTAAGTGTGCTTAATTAATAAAATTATTTTGCGCACTTTATACTTATTATATTGTTGAATTTTATAAAATAATTATAACTATAAAACCAAAATTGTGAACATTGAAATATTCCATAAATTTTGATATTTTTATTTGTATTATGAAAAATGAAAATTTATTTATTAATCAGAAATTATAGAAATTGATTTCGTGCATATTAAAATAAAAATTAACGAGCATGTTATATTACTTGCAATGCATAAAGATCATTATAGAATCACAATAATCTTTAAGGACTCCAAATTTTTAGATTACGTATCAAATATTTATCTAATGTTTTTGTTTCGATCTGTGTGTATTTATGTATGTTTTTAATATTAAAAAAATTTATATTAATGCACCATCTGATCTTCCATTGCTTTTGCTATCCATTCTGGTTCAGTTTGAGCAATTTTTTCTATTATTTGGTTTACTTGATAACAAAGTGATTGTATTTGTTTGTCCCACGTTGGTAAGGTTTCACGTGCTATATAAAAAAGTAAATCATTGTTAGAAAATATATTAAATTCATAAAATTTAATAATTATAACTAATTGATTTAAACTTACTTTCAAAATGAACAATAGAATCAATTTGATCAATGTACCCATTCATTCGACCTTCTGTGATCATTTGACTAGCAATCTTTTCTGCTTTCGTTGGTGGAATTTCTAACAAAGCACCTAATTCTTCAAACGTTATGTTATTATATAATTTACTAGCAGATAATAAGTTATGTTCTATAACGGCACGGTCAAGAATAGTTGATCCCAATCCATCAATTGTACTTGCTTTCTGATGAGGTTGTAATAAGGCTTCAAATTCTTGTAATTCAGAACGTCGAATAATACGATCCAAATACATTTTCTCAAGAATTGAGTAAGCAGGAAGTTGTTGACAACGCTCATCTTTAAATAATGTGGCTAACATACGACTTCTTTGTTGACCTAATGTTAGTACAAAATTTATACATTGCTTTCAAAATAAAGAGTATAAGAGAAATCCTTACCTGCAGAAGCTAATACTGTACAAATTAATGCATTTCTAAGTGCAGTCATACGTTCATCTTCATGGATAATAGATCTATATGATAATTCATTGTATCTTTGTGCTGCTTCTATAAATTTTCTTCTATAATCTAATACTCTGGCATAACAAACTTTATAGTAAATTTGTAACTGTTCATTTTTTGACTCAGCCTGAAGATGCATAAAATAAATTTATTTTTTAAAGTGTAATGGCTATATATTGTGCAAATAAATTTAAATACTGTTTACCTGTAAAAGAGATGCTCTATTGATAAATGCTTCAGCTTGTACTGGATCATCGTCTTCTAAATACAATCGTGCAATTTTAAGATAAGTTTCAAGCTTATAATCAACTGTATATTGCCTGTGGATAAATATAATAATTATATCAAACAATATACATATCGGAATTAATAGTGCGTAAAAATAACTTTTATATTTACTTTTGCCCTGTTTCTAATGGTATTCCAACTAAAACATTAGCAGCTTCTCTCCAATTTTGATTACGTTCATAGATCTTTGCTAAGTGTTGCCTTATACTAGCGACTTGTTCTTCAAATGAGATCACTCTTGGTTGTATCTAAAATATTTATAAATAATCTTTTATTATATTTAACATATTCATCTAATATATAAAAGTTTACCTTGTCTAATGTATAATGTGAAATGGCCATTGATACTTCATCAGGTAAAAGTAATAATCGATTACTGACATCTGTTAAAACTTGTCTCGAAATGACCAAACTTACATATTCATTTACAACTGTAAAACAAAAAATATTTGTCACCATATTACATATTAAGAAAACATTGGATACAGATTAAAATTATCTAAAACTTACAAGAAAGAATACAGATATTTAAAAGATTTTATATAAAAACCTCTTTAAAAAACGATGTAAACAAACCGCGAGGATATGACGTTTAATTTAATAAATTATGTATGCACATAGTCATGAATTTAGAACACTTTGATAGACATATGTTATATATTTATAATTAATTGTTACTATTAAATAATAAAAAGTTATATTTTTCTTTTTTTTGTGAAAAAACGTAACATACTTGCTTCAATGAATATTTTCAAAGCATCCATCGCTTCTTCACTGGACGATAATAGTATTGAGTCCAAAATCGCTCGATACCTGTAAGTATCATCGTTTGTATGACATATTTTCAAAAACATACTTTCCAAGCTGTTTGACAAGCTTACTTTTCCGCTTGATCTTTATGAGATCCTCCGGAATATGCTAAATTTGTCAGTTGTTGACGAACAGAAGCTGCTGTCACCACCATCTTTTCTACATGAATAACCAAAAAGATGACTTTTGCGCCTGTTATACTCACGAACTATGCTAGTCGCTAGAAAATATATTACAATGCTATAACAATAAATAAATAAAAGTAAATTTCATCAGATGTTGTAATTGTAAAAAAAAAAAATAAGAAATTGTTAGAATACTAGTAATTGAAATTTTACATTTTATAATTATAATGAAATATATAAATTTTCCTTAGACGTAGACTAGAAGTGAACTACATAACGATACTCCTCGTACTATGGAAGTATTTTATATGTATTGCCTTCATATTTATTTAATATATATAACAATGAAAGAAATATATCGCGATATAATTTGAGATGGCGCTTTATAGAAAGTCTGTAATTCGCTTGTTAACGCACTTTACATGAATAATTCATGATTGAATGCAATACAATTTCATTAACTCGCTTGTAAATCTAGTTTCACAGTTTGTGTGCCATAATTTAAAGACTTGATGAAGTACTTAATTTAAAGCACGTTAGTATGTTACTCTATGTTCGATTAAGGCAAAAATAAGTCATAAATTTCACAGTCAAACACAACTAATGCATACTTTTAAGTTATTGTATGTATCAGTCTTTATTTTATAGATGAAATATTCATAGGAAAATGAAAAGTCATCTAGTATAAGTTGTAATATATATTTTAACAGATATTTACTGAATATTCTGTTTATATGTATTTATCATAAGCGTGTATCACTTGTATTTAATTATATTTTGAACTTCTGTAAAATTTAACGTACTTGAACGTATAAATGCAATTTTATTATTCACTTGCAATTCTAATATCTCATTGATTCTACCATATTGTAAACGTCAAAACTATAAATTAATAAAACAAATATTATTACATCTCAATTTTAAACATATATATTGTTATTATTGGGCAATTAAAAGATATATAAATTTCAGAAATGAAATTATGGCCGCAAATATGGAAATATTTTCGCAAGAGAAATATATTTAAATTCTTTTCTTTTATACAAAATATTTTTATACTTTTATAAATATTTATATAAATATTTATAAGATATATATGTATAAAATATTTTTATACTCTTTCCATGCATATTTGTAAGATATATATTTATAAAATATTTTTATACTCTTTTCATGCATACCATCTTTTTTATGTAAAATATATTTTTTATATGAAAAGTTACGTAACTAATATTTAAATTTAATATTCATTTTTATTTTGAGAAACTGTTTTTAACAGAAAGAGAATTAAAAGTGGTTGGATATATCTTTGCTACAAAGAAACAATTCTAACATTTAAGTTTATTCTATTGCCCAATTGGACAATCATTAACTACCAAATTAGTATTGTGCTTCTCTATCAGAGAAGTGTCTTAAATATAGAATTCATTTGATACCAATGGTCAAGAAGTAAATTATCGCGTAAGTGAGAAAGTAAAATTTTATATACGTATATATATATTTACAAATAAAAATGCTACATTTGTAAGAATATATAACTTTTCATGAAATGTTTCGCATTCAAAATATTCAAGTTTTTGGAACACTTAGTTTTTTATTGGCCTAAGAGGGCGCTAAAGGGCTGACGTGTTTTTAGCCGCGGAAGGGTGAAAATGGCGAAATCGAAATTTTGCAAAGTGCGCGAAAATATCGGTCGGTTTTGATGTAATATCCAATTGATAAAATAAAACGTCCGGTTTCGATGAATTACATACAGGAAAATATTTAACTGTATAGTAACAGCGAGCTTGTCATTCTCATTTCACTTTGAAATTTTAATACTAAACGACCTTTGGGTCTGTTTGTACACAGCGGTGCGTAGTGCACTGTGGGACAGCAATGGTGGGCGCGTGATTTTGAACAAATTCGAGATATTGAAGGAATACCCAGGTACGTGTTACAAGTGCGATTAATTTATTCAAAAAATCATTCAGGTGAAATTTAAACGGTTGATGAGTACGTAAGAAATCTTTTCCGTGTAATTTGTTGCAATTGCAATAAGCTTCGTGGCACGCCCCCACCCAGCACTGTATGTACCTGATATGAAATGATAAGTTATAGGTTAAGTTATATTTTGCGCGATTATATGGTGAATATTTAGAGAAAGTTTATTTTTTATTAGCGGTTGGAATGTTGAACGTTCAGTTTTTTCTTGCGTGTCAATGTCGGTCTGTTGTAAATTCGTCAAGGCTGTTAAAATTCACGGAGAAATTCAGTTCGTGGAAAATGGCGCGTTCGAGCAATAAATGGCGCTAATGTTCCTAAGTGGACTATCCTTCGAATTTTTCTTCATTATTCAAATTTTATTGTTCGAATTTTCGAAAATTCGAATTACACTTGACCTTTATGTTGTTGGACGTGTTTGTAGATAATCCTATTGTCTTTCGCATTTAGAAAAGACACATCTACACCTTGAGAATTTGAATTTTTGAATTTTTAAATTCTCGTAGAATTCGTTTCGTTTTTAAGTCATTTTATAAGTCGTTTTATATTTTTCCGTTCGTTTACAATGTTTTTTTCCATGTACTGTCTAACAACGTTTCGAACCTCATAATAGGAACGGTTTACATCCTATGAATTTCTAACCTGTGTATCCATGAAATACATATTACAGACATCTGGAAAACTTTTTCAATATACGTAAAATTATTTTAGATGTAAATAAGTGTACATGAAGGAAAGATATTAAATATTGCCAACACTGTTTACAGTTTATAATTTAATATTTTATACTAGCATGTAGATGTATTCATAAAAATCTTTGTATCGTATGTTTTGTTTTCGTATTCAGTTATGTAATTAATATTTAAGCCTTTTAAGTCTTTTAAGAAGACATTATTGTATATCTATATAATGTTTTTATTTGTAATTTTATAATAAAAGAAAGTTACACAGTTATAAATATAATAATGTATCTAAATAGAAGAGATGATTATTTTATGTAGTTTGTTACAAATTTATACAACTCTGTTTTACATATAAATGTTAACTGTAAATTTGAAATATATTGTATACTTATTCATATTTTAAATGTATAAATTTCTACAATAAGTAATATTTTGAATAGGAACATAATCATGTCTGTAAATAAAGGCCAAAATGCTAGAGCATTGGTTGAACCATTAGCTCTTGATTCACGTACACTTGGTGATGGAGACTTAAGTGCGTTGACTTTGTCACATAATAATGAACAATATTCATCCAATGACTTTGAAGCATTTGCAAACATTCAGGCTGAATTAGAATGCATGAATGCTGAAGAAGTTATGACAACAGATGAAGAACATATAATAATTGGACGTAATATTGAGACTGAAACGATTGTACCTGATGTGGAAATGACTGAAGTTTCTGAACAAGCTCAAGAAGAACACATTATCTATACGACAGCAAATCAAAATAATCAAAATATTGTATTTCAAACAAAGCCAACGTTACAAAGGCTTCCTGCATCTACAGTACAGGTATAAAATATTATGCTTAAGTGTTTTGATAATTATACAATATCGCTTGATCTTTTTAATAGGTAAAGTCAAATGTTGGTCAAGTAACGCAAAGTCAGTCTATTATGATAGTATCTCCCGCTGGTGGTCAAGGTACTAGCCAAATCTTAAAAATTTCACATCCATCAACAGCATCAGCTGGTCAATTACAATCGTTAGCTCAAACTCTCATAACAGCAAAATCTGCTGATAATATAGTTCAGTTGAGATCTGCACAACCTAATAAACCTGTAATGGCAACTAGTCATTCAGGTAATATCACATTAGGAAGTGTTCAAAATGCAAAAACAGTTCAATCTGCTATAAAACGTACTGCACAGAGTACTTCTCAAAATCGAAATGTAAGATTATTAATGACATTATGTTTGTTGCTTTCATTATATTTGAATTGAAATATTTATTAAATTTTCTTTTTTAACATTATTTTAGGTATATACAAAAATGATACTAGCTGGAAATCAAACACCATCAGGACAAGTTCTTATAACTAGTTCTCAAAATGAAAATCAACAAACACAAGCAATAAAATTTTTAAACAATAGTACATCAAGTCAAGATGTTACAAGTCCAGCAAAAACTATAACATTAGCACAAGCACAGCAAATGGGTTTACTTTCCACTAATAAAGTCCAACATATTTTACCTTCGTCCCCGCAGAAACAAGTGAGTATAAAAAAAAAGGTAGGTATTATTTAATTTTTGTGGAACAGAAGAATTAAAAAACTTCTTTCCATTATTAAATAACAAATATAAATATTTATTAGAAATATTAATTCGTGTTTATTTTATTAAAGGGAATAATTGTAAATAAATTAGTGCAATCATCGAGCTCTCAAGCCTCTAAAATGACCATAGTTCCAAGTAATACAATTAAATCACCAACAAAGATATTACCTGCTCCTACAATAAATACACAGGTTAAAACTTCAACAATTTCAAATCAACAATCAACATTTTCCTCATCTAATAAATCAACTGTTCAACAAAGTCCACAGAAAGTGATTATACGGCAGGTTAGTTGAACTAGGTTTTTAATGCGATTTTAATATTTTTTATATTCCTTTATGCTAATAAAGTATTTTGACAGAGTTCTTTAAAACCTGGAACTGTTCTTGGAAGTGGACAAGTTATTAGAATACCAGCCAATCAAAATATTGTTACTGGATCTAATCAAGTACACCAAATACAAATGCCTGGCAGACAAGTAATATTTTTTTTACAAACTCAAAGCATTGCCAAATGTTCTTTATATTAATATTTAAAGTTTAGATATCTTAATTATACAATTTTTTTCAAGGTGCAATATGTAAGATTAGTTAGTACTCCATCATCAGGTACTACAAATGTTGTTACTGTGGGTAAAACGAAATCACAAACAACTTTACAAACTGTTGGAGTTGGCCAAAAAATAGGAGGCCAACAACAGATCGTTAAGGTTTGTAGAAATAAAAACGTATAATAGTATTAGATATACGAAAAAACAGTATTAGATATACGAAAAAATAATATTAGATATATATTATATACATGTATATTTTTCTTTCAAACAAAATACAGGTAGTTCCATTAAATACTAACAATCAATCATTAAGAACTGTTGCACCTAAGGCTACATTAACAGGAAGTGGTCAAAGATTATTAATTCCAGCAACTGCAACAGTAAGCAACCAATCGAAAAATGCAGTTGCTATCCCAGCATCTGCTTTAAGTCAATTAGCATCTGGACAGGCTGTTCTTTCAACTAATTCAAATGTAGGAAATATTGTAGTTTTACCAGCTCAATATATTCAACAACAGGTTTAGTATATTACTATTATTAGTATATATACGCTATGCTTAGAATAATATTATTTGTCTTTTCCAGTCAGCAGATGATGCAAAATTGAAATCTCAACAAGCAACAGCCGGTTTACTAAGTAATTTACAAAATTTACAGAGTTCAACAGGAACTATATCTGTGGGATCTATTTTAGAGAATAAAACTCAAAGATCATATACTAGTGTTGAGCCAAATGGTATTAGGCCGAGAAAACCATGCAATTGTACTAAATCACAATGTCTTAAGTTGTAAGTAAAATAATAAAATAACATAAAATTGTAAAGTAACTCGCATAATTTTCGCATATATAATTATTATGAGTATGATTCTATTTTTAAAAATTGAACATCAAATATTGCTTTTCACTTTTTTTAAATTATATGTATTGTAAAATGACAGTCCACAATAGAGGTCACATTCCGTCTTTAATTAAAAGATCGTTCTATGATGTGAGAAATATTTGATTTTGACATTAATAAATTATTACTTTAATTAATGCTTTAATAAATGAAAGGGAAATTTTTAAATATATTCTGTTGCAGATATTGTGATTGTTTTGCGAATGGAGAATTCTGTCATATGTGTAACTGTAATAATTGCTCTAATAATCTTGGAAATGAAGAAGAAAGACAACGTGCTATTAAATCCTGTTTGGAACGTAATCCAAATGCTTTTCGTCCAAAAATTGGCAAAGGTCGTGAAACTGGTGACGATATACGTAGACATAACAAAGGTTGCAACTGTAAACGAAGTGGATGTTTGAAGAATTATTGTGAATGTTATGAGGTCTTTTAATTAATCTAATTTAATTATTAATTAAGCATAAATAATTTGCAAGATGATAAAATGTTTTTATTAAAATATTTTTTTTATTTTTCCAGGCTAAGATTCCTTGCTCTGCTAACTGTAAATGTATAGGGTGTCGTAATATAGAAGAACCGAATTTGGAGAAAAAATCTTTAAAAGACTTAGCCGAAGCAGCCGAAGTAAGAACTGCACAACTTACATTAAATAAGACAAAATTACAATTATCAGAAATGACTTTTAGGCCTCCTGCAACATCAAATACTGGTGCAAGGTATGTTTAAAACATTAAATAAGTAAAAGAAAACGAAAAAATTGAAATATTACGAATTATATTTGTGATACATATTTAAATTTTTTATAGGCAACCGTTTAACTTTTTGACTGATAAAGTAGTACAAATAACGTGCGAGTGTTTAATGGCACAAGCTGATGAAGCAGAACGTAACATGTTTGATGATGAAACATCACAAAGACTTATAATCGAAGAATTCGGTCGCTGTCTCAAGGAAATCATAGAGTCAGCACACAAAGCTGAAGCTACCTAGCAGGTACATTTTGATAAAAAATACAATGTTGAAAATTTTCGAAGTTTGCGTACATATTCTGAAGTTACAAAATTGAAAATGTTAGTTATCGGTACTTCTTAATTTTATAATTGGTTCCAATAATTACAAGTGTTATATACCAAAGATAATGGTAAAAGATATTAAAATGTAATACATTCAACTGTTTTCTGATTTTGTATTGTTTGTAAACGTAAAGTTTTTTTTTATAAGTATAAATTACACGTATATGTGTAATTAAATTATAAATAATGTGTAATAAAATTATAAATTTGTTATAATATAACGATTGGAAGCGTAATTAACAAATATATTAGATTATTTTCAATTTCGTTGAAATTTTGATAAAAATTATATAAAATTAATTAATTATTATCATTTAATATATCAAGGACGTAAAAGCAAATTCAGAAATGACACGGTTGAATGAAATTTTGTAATACAGACAACATATAAAAAATATTTATATATTTGTCAATTACATTTTAAAAATTAATTTTATTGGAAATCAAGATAAGAGGCTAAAGAAATACAAAACAAATAATATCTTAAATTTTATGTTTCATATCTAAATTTGAATTTTTAATTATTTCTAATTATTAATTATTAATTCATTTTTTTTTTTTTTTTTGATAAGAAATGTATGTATTCGTGAAATATTGAATAATGGTAGAGTTTTATGAATTATTCAGAATATTCGAGTTTTTGATCGGTATGCAATATGAACGAGTTCAAAATTTACTAATAAAATGACTTCATTATAAGTTTTCATATTGCATGGTGATTTAATATATTTTTTTGATAAATTTCAAAATAGTTAGTGTATATATTTTATTTTGAAGGTTTATAAAAAGTCCTAAATTTTCGATTAAATCGAATTTATTTATAATCGTTATCATTATTAAAAATTTTTAAAAAAAACTTACGTAATCCGTAAAAGGAGTTATTTGAATTATCTCTAAATGATGTATTATGATTTTTTCCTTATCGATTCTTCATTTGTAACTAATATTAATAGATTTTTTTCAAGGAAGTTGGGAAATTTTCTTTCATTGTATTTCATTTTTGAAAAAAAAAATATTAATACATTTTCATATATTTCCTTATTATATGTAATATCGCATAATTTCTAACAATTCTAAAATAATCAAGGTTTTTTCATTATATGTTGCAATAAATTCACTCTTTTAATTTAACTATGGTCATATATAATTAAGGAATTACATATAATTAGGATTATAAGAAATTATTTAAATAATGATAGAACGAATGGCATTGCAGTGAATAAAGATATCAAGAATTCAATTATCTAATATATAAATTAAAAATTCAATAGATACAGATAAACAGATATTTCTCATCATGCGTTGACTTAATCATCACTGCAGTAATAATATCTGTCTGCCATTAGAAGTGATAAAAGTATAACTTTTATGTAGCAGATTAATATAAAATATAGAGTTTATATATAGAACAGTATAAGGACAAATGTAATATAGATACAGATATAAATATATATTATATATTATATATTCATAAAATTCTTATTTCAAATGGTAATGTTTATTTTAAGCATATGAATTGTACAGGCATCGTAATATAATAAGATAAAAATTGTGTGAATTGAAATTGCGACATTTATTTAGATGTTAAAAAATGATAATGAAAAATTAATTGTACGTTTCTACTTGTTACATGGCATTTGTATAACAAATCTAATATGAAAATACAAATTTAAAATTAATATTATAAATTTTGCAAACAATATTAATGTATATGCGTAAGAAACTACTACTATGTACAGATAATCTATTGTATATCTATACCTTTATAATTTGTCCTCTGTACATTGAGAGAAAAAATCTGATATCATCAAGATTAATAAATAATTTATTTCTCTACATTAGAAAAATTTATTTAAATGAATATGATTACATTGTACAATTAATATGTAAAAAGTTTAACTGAATTAAAAATTCAAATGTAAATAGGCAATACATAAATTATAATATGTGTTGTTTGATATCAGATTTTTCATGATGGTGGTTTAAATAACATTAAAGTGTATGTATGAAGATAATGTATATGTCAAACATATATACTTTTCAATAAATCTTATGTTTACATTGCAAGTTATTTATTCCTTGTATATACATAATTTTGTATAACATATACAAGATTTTGTATAATTATATACAAAAATTTATCTCTATTTTTTAACACTAAAATTTCACTATTTTTTTAGTTTTTTTATTATCTTTTTTATCTAAATTATTTACATTTTCTTCTAGGCATTCTAAATTACCATTTGTAATTGTATTTACTGTAACGGTATTTTCTTCCTTTTCTTTAATCAAATCTGGACAATCTTTTTTTAAATGCGTAACATCTCCACAAATTTTACAAGCACCTCCTTGAGGATAAACTCCTTTAGGATTATCGGGACATTGTTTAGCGATATGTCCTTGTTCACGGCAAATGAAACAAGTTGCATATCTGAATTCCGTTGGCTTGGCAACTTTACATTCAAAATGAGTGTGTTCTGTTGATCCGCATTTAAAGCAGATTCCAGTTCCTCCTTGTTCTGAACTAAGTTCAGGACAATCAGACAAATTATGTCCAGATTTGCGACAGTGAAAACATACACATTTCCTAATTCTAGCTAATGCTTTTTCAGCTTTCCTCCTTTCCAATTTCATTGCTGTATTTATTTCTTTTTGTGGAATACCTATAAGATAATGAGAATAGTTAGGCAATGTTAATATATGTTATTGTAAAAAGGCTATTTATACAATCTACCTTTCATGATCATTTTCTGTTTTAAATCACTTAATCTCTCTGCATCTTCTTTTTTAACTGGAAATCCATCAAATTTTACAATATGTAATTCTACACCATTGATGATTATTTTTGAAGGACCTAAATCTGCTTTTCTTCTTTTGTGTTCCTTATCATCCCGGATTTTAGGTGGTTTTCTTTTTCGTTTTTGATTGTCAAGCTTTTTCACACCAAATTTATTTGGGACACTTCTAAAGTTTTGTGACTTAATTGGAAAATTTTTATCAAATTTTCTTTGTGGTTGATCGATTTTTTTACTTTCATTCTTGTTATTATTTATACTTTTTGATGCAGTACTATCGTCATTATTATTTTCTATGATTTTGGATATACTTTCATTCGAATTTCTCTTCTTCATGTTACGTTTTTGACGTTTAGAAAGTTTATTTTTTTTATTTTGTGATTCATTTACACTGATTTCTGCATCAGTATTATTTTCCTTAATTTCTGAAATATTATCTTTCTTTCTTTTTTTATTATTACTTGTATCATTAGGTTGATATTCATCTTTTTGATACTCTTTGTTTTTTACGATTGATATAGAATTATCAACTTCATTAATAATCCTTCGCTTTTTTTTGATCTTTTCTGTTGTAAAATTATCTCTTTTTTTAAAATTATTTGGAAATTCTGCCCAAGAACCATAAGCATTTTCAACATTATCACTTGTATTTTGTGTATTTTCCAATAGTTCTTTAACAGTTTTAGTTTCTTTAAAGGATTTTTCTTCTTTTGATGTATTTTCAATTAATTGTTGCTTCATTAAATGCCATGGTGTAGCATCATTGGGTGTTCTTTCATTTGATGCTTTTGAACCCTTAGCTCTTGCATATCGTGTCATAGTTTAAAGATTTTAAAACACTTGTTTTTAAACAATTAAAAATTATACAATTTTTTAAACTATATAAAATATAATTATATAAACATTTGTTTATAATTTATTTACAATTATACAATAATGATTTTAAAATATTTTTAATTTAAAAAAGTTATATGTAAGTTATATATAAGAATAATTATTATCTCTTATTAAATAAATTTAAAAATCTATTTTATTTTAGTTATTGGAGTATTACTAATAGTTATAAAATAATTATGAATATTATGAATATTTAATGATATAAATTCATTTTAATAGTTTTCAAAACAATCAAGTCTTTGTCACACGTGACATAACCTTACTTTTTAACACATGAATCATTGACGAAGAACAAAATAGATATGACGATGCGATATATAATATACAATGTCTCATGCACACAATTTTTATGTTATAGGAGATATTTTTATATGTTATTATGTTTTTGTTTATTAAAATATTTAATCACAAGCAATTTAGAAACTACATTTGTCATTAAAGATAAGGCATAATCTAAATTAATCATATAATGCTTTATGTTATGTCTCGACCATGTCTAGTTTATTCTTCTTATTATTAATAAACTAGATTCACGTCTATAAGTAGTTTATTTAAAAAAAAATTAAATTTATTAAATTTGAATTTAAAATTAGACTGAGGTTTAAGAAATGAAATTACAGATATAAGATTACAGACGTAAAATTTTTACATTTTACGGAATTTTTTTACAGACATAACATTTTTATAAAAATTTTATTTAATGAATGAAAAGAATTAAAGCAAGAAAATTTTTATTTTTTCTTCTAATTTATTTTCAAATGCAATATATTTTCAATTATATTCAAATGCAAGTCCAATAATTTTAACTTCAGATTACTAAAGATTACTTATTGGCTGATGCGATGTTAACCTTTTGCTTCGCTAGAGCGGCGCGCAAAATTGAAATATTTTACGCGCATTATTCAAAACTGAATCTTTTAAAAAACCGAATGATTTTATAAAACTTGGGAATATTAAAGAAATGTTTCCAGAAATATTGTTTGGTATAAAGTTAGTTTAGTATATTGTATGGTGTAAATTATTTTTTGCAGATCGTTCATTTCTGAAATTTGAAAGTCATTTGTTAAGACGAATTTATACTTGCATACGTTGTTATAACTCATTAAAAATTAATGAATTATTGTTGTAAAGTTCAGTAAAATGGGGGAAAAAAATCGTACAGCTAGTTTTAAGGGCTCACTGTAAAGCGGAGATTTCAATTTTCAAAATCATGATTGATCTGATCATGAAAAAAAATTGTTCAGTAATGGAAAAATTTCTCTTTGGTGAGATATTCGAATTTTTACAATTTTCGAGAAGAAAGGTATTCTTATTTTTACACTTGCTGTGTAAATGTTAAAATAAATATTTTTGAACAAACTTAGTAAAGTGGAGATTTCACTCTTCAAAATAAAATCAAGTTAATTGTTCTACAATTCTTTTTTCACGAAATAACAGTTTAAAGTATTAGCAATTTTTTATCTAGTGTATGAATATTTTCGTTTCTTTTTAAGAATGTCTCATGAATTTTGTGTATTTGTTTTAGACCAAAGTTTGAATTTTGTGTATTTGATTCAAAATTATGATTTCGTGCGATTACAGCGCCACAACGGTGAAGTACGGCAATAACTTCCTACGATTCTCGAACGGTAATCGATATTTCTCATGATCGATTTTTAAGCGGGAAGCATGGCGGAAGGGAGCACACCTCGTCTGTAAGGAAGAAAGTATTATCCAGAAAAATTATCCAGGAAAAATTGTCATCCAGAAGACAAAAATTTCTCAGGTAAAAATTTAAATCAATAGCTGTTAAATTTGCGTTTGTGTTGTGGAAAATTTTGCACTTTTGGCTGCAACTCATCGAAATCTGCCAGATTACCAAAAACAGTGCATAATTTTTAGTTCTCTAAAGTAAAATTTAACCAAATAATTGTTGCACATAATTTTCAACGATTAAAGAAATAATGGCATATAAACATTTAAATAGAACATATCATGCTAAAAGTTATTTATAATTTTATGTTTTTACTTCTATTATGACATTTTCTACTCATTTGTTGATTCTTAATATGCTACGTAATTTTTAACAATTCCAATACCAAACAATTTAACAATAATTTATTAAGAATGTATGTATTTAGTAGTTAAAATAATAATATTACTGTTATATAATAAAATTTCTTATATCTTAGTTTAAAGGATTGACAATTTTTTATCTAGTATGTAAATACTTCCATTCTTTTTTAAAAATGCCACATGAATTTTGTGTATTTGATTTAGATCAGAATTTTTTATTTTTTATTCCAAGTTATTTCGTGCGAAACGTGCAATTACAGCGCCACTATGCGGTGAAATATGCAATACACTTCTACGATTCTCGAACGATAATCGATATTTCTCATGATCGATTTTTAAATGGGAAACATGGCGGAAGCACACCTCGTCTGTAAAAAAGAAAGTGGTATCCAGAAAAATCATCCAGAAAGAAGTGTCATCCAGAAGTTCTGAGGTAAAAATATAAATCAATAGTTGTTCGATTTGTATTTGTGTTATGAATTCTTAAGATAAAACGTGTATTACGATTACAAAATTTTGGAGTATTTGAAAACTTTTCGCCATGATTTTTCATCGATTTTACTCATACGGTTGCCGGTAGTCTCGTACGCTTTCTTAACAGAATTTGCAGTTGATTATCGTTTTATTTTTATATATTTGATATATTTGTTCTGAATTTTGGTTTCTCTTTGTGCAGGTTATTTATTGATTGCAGAAATAGTATGGAACGCATAGATGCCATGATCATTAATGGGCAATTTGAACTGTCATGGAAATTTGGCAACATTTTATTCATTTTAGGTTAGGTTTTGGTATACAATTCATATATATGTAAATTACAATTCACAATACGTAATTTCGTATTTTGTTGGAATACAAAGATGTAAATAGAAAATAATTGGATCTACAATTGGATATTGACCAGCTTAACGGTATATACTTTCTTAAATAGATGTATATTCTTGTATTAGATAATCAAATTCAAAGTTTTCGTACTTAACTATATTATATGTACTTGCTCTTTTGGACGCTGACGCGCAACTGAAACGATTCAAAGCAAGATTTCAGATGTGTTTTTCGTAGTTTTGTTTTTTAAATATATTTAGCTGTGATATATTATTAGCTGTGATATATTATTAATGTGTACACTTCCTACTATAATAACGAACATTCAGAATACAATCATTGTGCTTTATTTAGAGTAGTCAGTGTTAGGAAATACTTTATAATTCACAACTAATATCTTTAATACATATCTTTAATATTTACTATTCTTCATAATTATTTTCTAGAATAATAGCAGTACTTTCTAAATGAACGTTTCCTTCGTCCTTCCGCTACTATCAATTTTATTTCAATTTTTCAGAAAATTTTTGTGACCGCGCGCAATGCGGTCGATAAAGTCAGTGTCTGCTGCGCAATATTTTAATATCTTTGTGAGCGAAATGGCTCTTATTAAATTAAATTAATTCATTTAATTATAATTCGCGAAATTAGAGTCAGTGAGTCCGCCGATTGTTACTCAATCGCGCTCGTTGATAGTCTTTTATTTTCATTTTTTCATATTTTCTTTTGTTCAATATTCGTTTTCGGTATTTGAATCAGTGCTTAAGAGGATAATGTTTCTCCAGGAGATCAAGAACGTAAATCAAGAATGTAAGAATCTTTCATTATCTCCAGCTTAAGATTTTACTTTGCTTTTAAATACAAATTCTAATGTATTATGTTTTGTTACAGATCCTCCACAGTCTCCAATTACCCTTAATCTCTACAAATTTTACCAAGCTTCAAAAACTAAGAACGTAAGTACTTTGGCACATTGTACTAGTTCTATTCTCTATAGTTCTCCTCGAATGTAAAATTATAATTCTAAAATAAAAATATTTCAAATTATTAGGCCACTTGCTTCTGATTTTACTCTTCGATTTTTCGAATTTAGTATCGCGGTCACGGTCGCGGATAGGTCGCGAGTAGGTCTCGAAACGAACGTTTATGTAGGTATTGCTCGAGCACGCACGTGCGCACGATCATTTAGAAGTTACTCTTTCGTTTGCGAATAGAAAGACTCGAGCTAGACGTAAGTTTTAGCTAATACTTTACTTATCAACTAATTGTCCCTACAGTTTAACTTACATCAAACTGAACTGTAGGTTGCGTAGTTCTTAGCTTGATATCGTTTTACAAACACCAAAATTTACCTTATATTGGTTTACAATTTAGTTAGATAAGTTTTTACAAATTGTAATGTTTCTAAAACGATATCGATTACCAGGTCTCACCACGTGGAGGTGACTACGCACGAGACCCGCCCCGGGGCTTACATTATATACCATCCATCCATACAATCATACAATACATTAAATGCATACCATCATACAATACATACAATCATACATACAATGCATACAATCATACAACGCATACAACAATTCGCAGCCCTACCACCGCATTCTGTACAAGCGGTAAAAACGAACGAAAGAAGAGAGGAGATGAGGGATTCCTAATTTCGTCCCAAGTTCAATATACGTGTCTTTGTACAGAATGCGTTCACAATGAATTTACAGAGATTAACTAAATCGCACGCAACTTAAAGCTAAGGCGCACGCAACTTAAAGTTAAGACTCATGCATCCCACGATGTCCTCGGTGCTCCGCTGAGCCGATGTGCACACGACGAAAGTTCACTTGGTAATGAGTGGCCGTACTACTCAAGGTTATATTATATACTATTTCGGTCGTCAGTGATCGGGTACAGTTGACAACTTTTTTTTCAAACTTGTAGTATTTTATCTTTGTGTATACGTCGAAAGTTTT